GTTAGGATAATGTTATTCTTATACGCAAGATCATTACCTTATTTTAATTATTCATATTTTTTCCCCTTCGTCACACTATCTCTCTATTAATGTTCCATATAACAAATTAAAACAAAATTAACTTTAAAAAACTAAATTTAAATTGAAATAGTAGAATTAAAAATATATAGTATTTTAATGTTTGAGATATTAGCTATATTAATTTATTAATATATTTAATCGATCGTGGATCATAGCTTTTTTACCACAACCCATTTGATTTTCACTTTCGAAACATTTTTATATCATTTATGCGACCAACTATTTTGAAATTTGGGCATGTCCCCAACCAAGATAGGGTTTCTCAAAAGTGATTTTTTTTTTTTTAAATGTTCATGGGAGTGACTCTTAGTTCGTGGTGGCGGTCATTCCCTTCATCAGGAATTTAGGGCAACCTTTTTCCAATAATTTGGAAATTCATAATAAGGGTAAAGCAAAGCATGGGTTTAGTGGGGTTTAACTTTCACTTTCGAATCTAATGTCTAAAGCCAAAGGGACCACCCACGGCCACACAACACAACACAACACAGATAAAAACATATCTCAAATAAATTAACACACAAAAAACGGAAAATGCCTCAAGTGTTGCATTGTTAACCCGATAAGGACGTTCCCCAATCCCAAAAGATTGATTAAATTAATCTCATGTGATTAATTAATGCATCCCTAATTCCACTTAATTATGTTGCTTTAGCTAACTCTCTGCTTTGTTCATAAGTGCATTGCGTATAAATTTCCAAAAATGTTTAAACATAATCAATTATATCATCAATATTTATGAGATAGTAAACTAAACAACTCAACTTATTTTTTTGAAATTCGGAGTATTATTTTTATTTTGTCAGAAACTCTTAATTTATTAACATAAAATTTAATTACAGTCAGGTAACAAACGGTAAAATTTTGTACAATATAAACTCTTTACTAATTAGAGAGTTAATATAAATGTTTTTTTTTTCAATGAACTTCATCGTATTAAATCGATTTTACAGAATTAATTTAGAAACGTCTTCAAAATTACAAATCCGTAGGCGTGCACCATGCCGTACCGTACGTGAGCCTGAGGTTAACCTAACGTGGATCCACCCAAAAACATAATGATAGATATCATAATGTAACATATTTATGTTTGGCAAAATAAATTTAGTTAATAAATAAAAAAACAAGCAAAATAACTATAAAATAATATAACAAGTCTTATATTTATAAAATTAATTATTTTCTCTGTCTTTATTTATTATCAGATTACTTAAGTTGATTTCATAATTTCTTATTTTTATTTATATTTTTTACCCAAAAAATGTTTACTGGATAAAAATATATTAAAAAAATATATCATTGGTTGGGAATCAACCCCTACATCACTTGATTAACTATACATGTACTAAATCTTATGTGAATCAATATATTTTTTCTTTAAAATTATTCAAAAAAAAAAACATTCAAACAGGCGATAAAATTTAAAGCTAAAATAAATTTTTTAACTATCATAAATATAATTATCCCTAAATATACTTTTACATAGAATTCGTGCTCGTTGAACACTTTTTTAATGTATTTAAAATACTTGCTTATTATATATTTATTATACAAATGTCAATTTTTTTAATCATATAATGACTTTTTCTAATAGGAAAAAATAGTTGTTATAATAATTATTATTTTTTCGTTTGATTTAATAAAAATTCATTTTCTTCCATCAAGATAGTTCTACTCTTCTTTTTTCACATTTTGTTATCAAAGATCTTTTTTATGTTATATAGATTTATATTTTGATAACGACTACCATCATTACTTTCTATTACCATTGTTCCAGTGGTTTTAGGAGAAAAGAATTGTTTAATATACTAAAATTAGAATGTATTAATATGAAGATATAAATATTACTAATGAAAATAAAAAATTAAAAACAGAAAATATTTTTAAAATAGTAAATAAATAACTATTCTATATTAATTTTCAATCTACCATGCAAAAAATATTTTACAGTAGATTGTGTGTAACAAACTAAAAAATTATTGTAAAAAGTTTCAAATTTTGTATAAATAACATAATATTGTAAAGCAGTTGTACAAATAAAACTATAGAAAATATTTTCAGATATATTTTTCATAGCCAATTTAGATAATCCCGTAGAAATATAAAATGTTGCAGAGGAACTTCCATTATAGATAGATTGATGATTAAAAATTCGGTCTAAAAAACACATTTACTTTTTTTTTTATTGCTAAATACTCTTTATTTTGATTCTTAATAAAACAGATCTCTCAAAAAAAAAAAACTTTTCAATTTGGTTTTACGACATTGCTTCAATATTACTAGATATAATAATCTCACATATTACATCATTTTTTTTGAAAGAAAATAAATCATAGAACTTCTCTATATAAAAAATGTTTTTTATTAATGGTCCTTAGGAATTAGACACATTGAAATTACAACTGTGCCAATTAGTAATATATTGATTAATCCTCTAAAGTCTAAGCTTATAATATGAATCCTTCATTTTTTAAAGAAGCTTGTTGTTTTATAATGATGTTATTCAATAATAGGAAACAGTATGAAATCAGTTTTATTGAAACGCTAAATTAATGTTATAATTCTTTAAATAATACTTGTAATGGTTGGTAAAAGGTGAAGACAATAGGATGGCAATTAACAACAATTACCATAGAGATTATGAAATTTTATATATAAGCTAAACTCATAGATTTGTCTAAAAAATGTTATAAACAAATACCTAAATTAAAATAGATAAGTGGGGTCTTCATCACAAGTACATTGGATAATTCCAATTATAGTTAATCACATTGGAAAGCTGATAATTTCTTTTTTTATCGAGTGTTTGAATAGTTCATTTTGCTTCTTCAAAAACCTAATTATAATATAAGACTATATAATTACCGCCGCAAAATTGCATGAAAGGTGTCATTACTTGGTTTTAATTATAACATGCATGCATTATCTACCTACATGCCTTTTCTACTTCTAATTATATCATCTATGGCTGCATTATATGCATATCAATCATATAGAAGAAAGAAAAAAAACCATTGAAAAGGTTATAGTATTTCTAGAATATTAATTTTGATCAACCAATGTTAGAAGTGATTGTACTCATAATTTGTTTCACAATCTATCAAGAAAAAACATTTTAGGATTGGATACTGAAACAACTAACGTGGAAAATCTATTTAAAATAAAACGCTACAAGTACATTGTTTAACTGATATATAATAATGTTATAATATCGTAGATTAGCATATTAAATTATGTGGTTAAATTCTAAAACGAAAATAAAAATTATGTTATTATAATTGATGAGATATAGTTATTTGGAGTGATCAACATAAAATGGGTTGTGTCCTCTGTTGGTGTTTAAATAAGAAGATATTACTTTGATTATATATATATATATATATATATATATATATATATATATATATATATATATATATATATTGATTAAGATGAGTTTTCTAAATTGAAATTATCAAAGAATAGTCAAAGTGATTTGACAATTTATGGTATAAAATATGACTTTGCTCCTCACGATGAATTTATCTATGATATTTGCGGACATCGATTTATTTTTAATTCCTATTCATGTAGAAGTAAAAAGAAAAACGTAATTAATTAATTATTAATAAATGATTATGATAACACAAATTTTGGGTGCTACGTGGACATGAAATAGAAGCAACACGGGTATTGGACGGTGACGGCTTTGTTTTTCGATCTTTTTTGCATTTAAAAACAAACACAAGCTTCACAATTCACATAACACATCAACACCAACCATCATTGCCTCACAAATCAACGTCACACAAAACATCTATCTATCTATCTATATAGATAGATAAAAATAGTACCTATTTATCTGTATATAAGTAAAACACTTATTTTAATAAGTGTAAAAGAATTCATCTATATCTTCATTGATTTTGTATAATTTAATAGTTAAAATGAATTCTTGTATTATATCATCAAACTAATATATATAGTTCTTTATTCTTCCATTTTTTTACCATCTCATATTAATTGATATTTGATACTATTATTCTTGATATATTTGCTAAACTTACAAGGAAAATAAACCATAATAATGAGTTCGTGGCTTCATATAGCCACACAAATATATTTCTTAGGATTCTGAAAATTTGAGTAAATCATTTTTACTCTTTGAAAAAATTCATGAGTAGAAATGAAGTTGATGAAAATATATTTATTGTAGAAGCTTCACGAATGTTACTCGTATATGGTTTTAACGAAGAGCAAGGTCCCTAGCTAGTTAGCCAACATTAGCCTTAATGGAAAAAAGTGAAAACCCAAGCAGAGTCTCTCTTTTGTGCTTTTGATTGATTCGCACAAAAGCCATGGGACAACAATGCTCCAGCACAAATGAAGAAGAAATCAGCCCCTTAACACTCACTTGCAATTTTTCTTTCCCCTTTTATCTTGGAATAGAAATTGTCTAAAAAAAATGTTTACTTTCATGATCACACTGTATATTAAAATGGCTAGAAAGTAAATAAATCTCTTTATTTTTTCTTTTTCAGTGATGACATACATGTTACGGAGGTCATATCCCAATTTCATGCGACAAAGTGAGTGAGAAGGGTCCAGCTAAAAATTTTACCAGAGGGGAAGGTACAAAGTTTGGACCACCATGGCGATTGAGTGGTCAAAGTCATGAGGCACAAGATGGAAATTGCTAAGACACCAAAGAGTGGCGCCTAAATTATGGATATCTTTTTGAGATTTTGTGTCACCGATGTGAAAGGAACTAAAGAAAAACCCCCACCAAGAGAGATGGATGGACTTATCACACAATACAAGAGGTGCTTTTGGTTCTTAGAGAAAGCTAAGGAAAGAGATAAAAGAAAACTAAAGTCATGATATTTTAGAAGCTTTCTCTTGTCCCCCTTTTTTTCATATATGCATTTTTTTGAGATCATGCATTAAACCTCTCTTGGGTCTACAAAAAGAGCTCTTGTTGGTGGGGTTTTGGTTAATTCATGGAACTTGTTATTTGTCCCTTCATTTTTCAATGACTTTATGCACCACAAGTCTTCTGGGCATGAGAGCAATTTCCAATGTGGAATATGATGGTTTAACTCATCTCTTCCTCCAACTTCAGTCACAATGATCTTGCAATTCTCACCCTTGGATTCAGCAGCCATGTTGTGCACAAATTGGCACAAGGCTCTCACTAGCTTCCCTGAGAATGAGCCTTCATGGTGCACCCCATACATGAAATAGAACCCAAATGGGTTGAAGAAATCAGGTATGGTGGGCAATTTCAAGCATGGGAAGATTTTATCAATCAACCACCAACTCTTGGTGCATAACAAGCAAGAAAAAGGTGCTTTCCCTAGCCTTAGCTTGAATATCTCCCCACTGTTCCATACACTCAGCATAGCCCAACTATTAGGGACTTGTCCATCTGAACCGAAATCCCCCCAAGCAATATCTCCTTTGAAATAGGCCACCCATGTTCCCAGACTCAGCTTGTTCCTGAGTATGCTTCCTATATCATTAGGAAAGAACTCTGTGGACCCCATGAATCTTCTATAGATGTATTCAGCTTGGTCAACCTTCAACCTTGCTATCTCAATGTTGGATGATACTTGAAAGCAATGATGGTTCACCGGATTCACAAGAATAGCTGGAGTCCTGAACTTGGTGTAGCCAAACTTGTCCATGAAGAGACTAACCGAGGCATGGTTGTCTTTTTCTGTTGCCATATATGCATAGTCCACATCCTTCGAACTGAACCATTCTTCTAGCCTTCTCACAAGGCTTGAGCCAATCCCTTTTCTTCGGTGATGGGGTGATACCCTTAGGCCAAGGACATACCCCACCTTCGCCAAATCCTTTGGAGGATGACCATGAACCGTCACCACCTTTATAGACCCTTGAATCACACCAACCAATTCATTCTCCAACTCTGCCACCTACCACCAAATTCAGCAGTTAGTGGTGGACATGATGATCAAACAAGAAGAATAAGAATAAGGAGAAGAACAAGAACAAGAGAAAGACATAAAAGATTAAATTGTTTCACGTACATAATGATATTAATAATAAAAAGAAAAAAAAAAAAAAAAAGAGTTGGGAAGCCATGAAGTTAGTGCCTCATAGTGGTTGGCATAGTATTGTATATCACTTACCAGCATCATGTACATTGGACTGTTTCGGATCCTACAAATGGGGTCACCCATAGTGTCTGTGAAGAGGAACACGCTTTCTGATGGTCCTACCTCACATCTTCTCTCAAGATCTTCCACTTGAGCCCTATCGTATTGTCCCTCATAACTTCTGATTCTGCACTTGTTGAATTCCATACCCAAAAGGAAGAGATTTGGAGGATGATGAAGTTAGAACGAGTTTGATATGTGATGATTGAGTGAAACAAGAATAAAAGGAAGCTCAAAACTTAAGAAGGTACACAAGATACATATAGTAAGATGGTGCAACCAACAATAAGAGAGTGCAACCAACAAGAAGTAATGCAAGTACTACAACAAGAATGGTTTGGCATAGACTTCATTATGATAATGATTTATATGCAGGAGATAAAGAGAAAAAAGAAAACAATTAAATAATTTAAAAAAAAAAACACAAAAAAAAAAAGGTGGAAAGAGAGAGAAAGAAGAAGAGGGAGTAGAAGTAGAAAAAGAGATTGAAGCTTGGTACAAAGTTCTTTATCATATTCATCGATAACCTAGGCTCAATAGTAGACAAAAATTAGATTAATAATGGAATGTGTTTTTTGTCTCTATATAGCTTTTAATGTCCACTCCTATTTATATAGATTAAGGTAATGTTATTATTGTCTACAAAATCATGATCTATTTTTTATTATTGATTTTATTTCACCCATCAATATGGTTTTACTGATTTACGTTCTAGCTCTTATATTAAAATTTCACATAATAAAATGAAATAAAAATCATAACATGGTCTCCACGTTTTTCTCCTTTTCACCCATTATGTAATTTCATCAAGTATATACAAGGTACTATGGTCCAGCTTTTGATTGGCACTGTCCTTTCCAGAGCAAAGCAAGGTCCTAAAATGGTTGAACTGGCATTAGAATGTCCATTTTAATTAAAAGAAACTTATCATTTGATGATTCAGCCGTAAAACCTTGTTTGATTATTACATGAAATATCAATAATTACCAATATGAATATAAAAGAAAGCAGGTTATTGAGGAGCAAGATTTTCAGAGAAACAAAATAAAATACAGGTAGATCTGAAGCAGTAAGAACGTGTCAGAAAAAGCACCACAGGCTTTGGTCAATTAGTCATCACAGTGTAACATTGTTTACACACACTATCAGGCACCACAAAAGAACCTCTATTTAAGCAGGAGTTTTCTTTTTCTTTTTCTTTGTATCCCCACAAGTTAATTTTTTCCTTGTATGCTTTGCTTTATTAGAGTCTTTTTACTTATTAATAAATATCTTCCTAATCCTCATTTATTGTAATACGCATTTTTATCGAGATATTAAAGAAAGTTTCATCATTTATTTCAATTCTCTCTCTCTCTCTCTCTCTCTCTATATATATATATATATATATATATATACATATATATATATATATAATTTGTAAATTCTGTAATTAAAAAATATTTATTTTAACTCCTATGTACTAAACATATTTAAAGAATTTATTTATATTTCTAGTCATTATAGATATTTTATATAATAATTTATTTTAATTCCATATTCTTATTATCAGATATTCAATACGTTTTTTTTCTTTAAAGTGTTTATTTTGATAATACTTAAGTATAAAACGTCTTTTCAAGTATTTATTTTGATAATATTTATCTATAAAACGTGGATCTATCTCTCTCTATATGTATAAATTGTAATTTAACCTCTATCTAATCTATCAACGTATCCTTCATTCGAATGTAAGGAAGAGAGATATATAGTGCGTGCGTGTGTGTATTATTATTTTTTTTTCTATCATTTATTATTTTAAAAACTTCAAGGCAATTATAATAATTTAATTAATTATATCCTTAAAGAAGAAATGAAGACCAATAAATAATAGAGAAATCACTTAATAAGATAAATAAAGGGTCTGAGGAAAACATAAATAACAATTTTCATAAAAGTGATAACATTAATTGTGTTTTTTTTTTAATGTCAAAATCTTGAACAACACTTAGGTACTATTGATTTCTCGTACACAAAGATAAAAGGGATGTTTATAAATTTAAGATAAAAATATCCAAATATATACTTCTACAATGAATGAGAACGTATTTCTCTAGAGTTATTCATCAAATAAAATGTAATTCTATTCATGATTATATATTATTATTATTATTATTATTATTATTATTATTATTATTATTAATGTTTATAATAATATTATGAAATGAAGATAGTACATATATTTTCCAATGGCGGATGAATAATATTTACAACAAAGAATATACTTATTTTGATTTAATAAATAAAAGAGAAAAAATTGTGTATTGTATATAGAACTTATTTGAGTGTGAAAAAATCTTACAAAACCAATGATCATGTGCAGTATAGTTGTAATGTTTTTGTATGGGCTTAAGCATTTTGATGTACAATATACTAGCAGGGTTGTTGGTAAGTGTAAGAATGCAAAACTCATTTGTCATTTTGCTGGCTTTTGCAAGAACTTAGCTTTTAACCCTCTTTGTTTCTTCCAACTACCTTCCTTTTGGTCACTAATCATAAGATCCCCCATTGTTAATGGAAAAGACACGTGGCGCCAATACGTGCTCGAAATTACCAATGGGGAAGTTCACACGTGCACATGAATGGAGTTGGGTCCCACCATAAGTGGATGAAGGAGAAAAAAAAAAAAAAAATTGTAGTGGGAGGTTCCCCTAGGCTCATGATTGTATCCTCCACAACAAGTGTACCACCTGTCTTGTTGTGCCTTTCTTTGCATGCATTATGTTGTCCTCCTCTTCACATCTTTCCATGCTCATTACATGGGGACCCACCTTCTCTCTTCCCTTCTCACACCCTTAAGTGGGCAGGTGGGTCCCACCCAATTCCATCAAATCTTGTTCCTTCTTCTTTTGGACTCTTCCTTCCTTCTTCCTTCTTCCTTCTCCGCCCCCTCCCTTCTTTTCTTTCTTATTTTGCCCTCCCAACTAAAAAAACTGATTCTTCAGATTAAAGGAAATCCATCATTATGTTTTAATTTTTCTTTAAATTATTTTTTTCTTTTACAATTATTTAAGCATGAAATTCTATATTTATAACCTATCACCTAAATCACAATCATAATTCTTGAAAAAGAAAAAATACATGTTAACGTGGACCTAATTAACTTGTTAGTTGCTTCCTTTTAAAACGGGGCTATGGTGGAGAGAATATTATGGATTTAGTTATGAGAGTTCAGTGGAGAAAATACAGAAATGCATCATGAACTGTTAACACCATTGTTATACATTGGTACGTTGTAAAGGATAACACTTGAAGTACTAAAAGTTTGGGGTAATCATAATACTGTAGAAAGAGTATAGTTTATGAAATAACACAACCAAATTAATTAAACTCATTACATGTATAGTGTTGAAGATAATTAGAGATGATGATAAAGTCATAGATATGAATGAAGGATTTATTATATAATTGGATGAATGGGAGGTATATGGAACTTAAAAGATGGTGCTTTAATGACTGCACCTATTTACGTGTCCAAAAATAGATAATCTTACAAAGATTTCAATCACTTTCACACTTATCTACATCTTTTCCCATCATTTCCTCTTACATATTGGCCCTCACTTTTTACTATCCTTTTTAGCTGGTGATTGTTATTCTTCCTTCATCAACAATTATGGTACATAAAGGAAACATGAGCAATACAAAAGAAAAGTTCTCGATCAATGTTAAGGATTTTTCAATCTTTTAAGTCCCTTTTTCTATTTCATATATTTCACTTTCATTCGCCTCCTAATTCGGTGAGATACTATGCATAAATAAAGTAACGGTTAATGGTTGTATTAATATATGTGACGATAAATTCAAAAATAGTGGATAGTGACCCTTTTGATAATAGTGTATAAATATGTAGTTATATTCTCCTGTGTGTTAATACTTCAAAATAGGAGAAGAGATGAACACAAAACTGATGGTATTTTTTTTTCTTAAAGGGGGGTTTATTTTAAAAAATGTAATTTTAATTTCAGTTATTCTAATTTTATTCATTTATTTACAGTTGCTTTAATTTTTAAATGCATTACTACATGTAGTTTATAAAATGCCTATTAAGAGAAAATAATTGTTAAGCGTTTGGAGGACAAAAATGGCACATTTTTAAATTAGAGTGACAAAAAAAAGGAGAGGCTTGTAAAACATATTTTATTAATTTTTTACGATTTCATTCACATATCAGTATATATTTGTATCTTAATTTGGCTTTTAATAATTTTTTTTATAGTCTCACAGAACCCAATTTATTAAGACTTGAATGCATGAAAAAAAAAATCTAACTTAAAAGCTTATTCATAATGTACGATAACTTCAAGATTTAAGTGTTATATAATGATTTATTCTTCTTTAAACATATTTAAATACAAATTAGAAATTTTGTTTAGAGAAAAAATATATTCAATAATAAAAAAAACTCTTAATAATTTGTTATTAAGATATGTGAACTACACTATAATTAAGAAGAACAAAAACAAAATTAAATTTGAATAAGACTTGTCTAGTCCAAGATATTTTCAATAAGAAAAAAAAGATTTAATATATTTAAATTATTTAATCTTAATTCTTAAACGAGGGAAGATTCTCAAGCAACAAAATATATTTGAGTATGTAGATTAAAAATGTAAATATGTATGAAAAATTCAATTAAAAGTGATAATTCAATTTCTTAAAAAATAAATATGAAGAAAATCGATAAAAAAAATCACATAAAGGCAAAGAGGATTGAATAAGTAAAAGCAAGAAGACATAGGGCACATCAAAATCAATGGTGGGTATGGAAACGCAACCACTTAAATCAGTACGGTGTACAGGAATCACGTTTTAACTTTTTACTCGTTTATCAATGGTCTCTGTGCAATAATAATATCTACACCAAACAGAACTTTATTTATTTTTCATTATTATTTTCTCTATGTGGGGGATACAACATAATGTTTGCTTGCATGAATGGGCAATTGTTGGTTCGGTTGGTTGTCATCGGATACATACAAAAGCATCATATTCCCTACCCAAACTTTTGTTCCTTTTTTTTATATATATATATATATATATATACTTTTTTGATCTTATTAAAGTTGTTTGAGGCAATGTTTTTGTTGTCTCGTGGTCCTCCTTGAGTTGATAACATATATTATATTATTCAAATGATCGAAATGGGATATTCACGAACCCAAACAAGGCAAAATGGAGAAGACAGTGATCAATGATTGATTGTATATAGACTAGCATTTTAAGCTTCCTCTACATTCACATTTTGTATGAAAAGTTTCGAAATAATACGAGAGATAGAGATAAATTTTACTCAAAATGTTAGAATATAGTCATTCTTTTTTAAGTTATTGACATGGTTATAGTTTTTGAAATTAATTCGTTGAAAGGAAACATAAATAAATATAGAACTAAAAATGATTCATTTATCTATAATTATTGTGATCTTTTTTTAATGTTGATAATATACAAGATTTTAAAGATTTAATTATGCTTTTCAAAAGTATCGTTTTAGTTCTTTAAAAATTAAAATGATTATTTATAACATAGATAAAAACATTTGAAGTGGCAAACAAAAAAAATGAGGACAAAACACACGAACACTGTCTGTGCAAACTTGATATAAATGTTCAGGCATAAGAAGCTGCAGAAGTTAGCAATTCGATGGAAGAGATTATCTGATGACGACAATTACCTAAATTTCAGATATTGAAAACTAGGGTTAGCTGAATTGATATTTGATAGCGAAGTTTTGAAGAAACAGAGGGTTTGATTAGGGCTTTGGAGGGTATACGAAAAGGGAAAGCATTTTGGATGCTTTATGATATCAACATGATTTTTAACCCTTTGTTTGATTCGTATCCTTTAATTGCTAGCTGCAGAACTTGACCTTATTTATTAATGGAAGCGAGCCATTTGGTTTTCCCTCTCAGATGTTGTCTTCAACATGAGAACGGAAATTCTTTCACAGCAATAACAAAACACTGCACAATTTCTTCTTTTACAAAGTCTGCATGTCATGATCTTGCTCGTGTCATGAGTCAAACCACGTGCACATCTGATTATTATTACCCAATTCCTCTTCAACTTCTCAGCCTTTGCTTTCTGAACCAAATTTCAGAAACTGATATGAATAAGAGTGCACTCGGTCAGGATCATGTCACTGATGCAAAATCAATGTTGTTAACCTCAATTACCTCTTTTTTATGGATATAATATGCTAGAAGAAGAAGAAGATAGAGGTTAAATCACATTCAAAAACATAAAAGATAATAAATGAATATATAGAAGCTTATGTGTGTTATTTATGAGGATGTAGTTTTTTAGATTTTAATATATATCTAACATAGTAATTATGAATACATATAATGGAAATGGTGTTGATGTGTTTCTATGTTCGTATTTATTTATAATTTATAACTTAAGATGTTATATTTAACGTGAAAAGGAAAAATATCAGAGAAGTGTGTATTTGACAGTGTTTTAAGATGTTATATATATATTGTTCATATTTTGTTCTCTGATGTTGATCAGGAAAAGAGAATCAGAAGAACAATTATAAAGAACCTAAATTGGAGTGGAATGTACGTGGATGAGTGATTATTAATGAAGAACATTTGATAATGGAGATCATTTATGGCAACACGTCATGATTCCATCAGTAAAAATGCCAGCAATGGATGGAGGAGTGTGACATTCACCAAAGTTTGAATCCAAGTGGCCACACAAAGTGTATATCGCTTCCAATTGAAATGAACCACTCTCTCATCCTCTTTCAGAAAGATCAGATGACAATGAGATTAAAATTAGTGGACACATATATATTTGTCGCTGCCATTTTTGGTAAGAAGGAGTAGATGAGAATGAGATTAAAATCATTTTTATTTGTTCAGTTCAGTTAAAAACAACGCCCCAATCCTTTAATATTTCAATTTGGAACTTATTTTCTCTCTCGTAGTATAGCTTAAATATATATTAAACTATTTTATATTCGAAATTTAACTCTTTTTTTTCTCATTTTTTATTGAATAAGAGTAACTCCTTCGTAAATTAATGTTATGTTGGAATTTTAATATGGATAAATTCTTTCTAAATGCACAAATCTTTTTTATTAGTTTTATCTTTAATTTTTAAAAAAATTATGTCATGTTTGTATTTATACCGGAGAAAAAGAGTTTTTTTTTTATATTATAAAATGTGTTTAATTTATTATTGCCTAAAAGTCAAAGCTGCTTGGGTCAATTGTACATACGCATCTTTACATTTCATCTATCTTTTATTTATTTATTTATAATTATTTTATTCATAAAATATAAATTTTTGAAAATTTATTATACCATTATTTTCAGAAATGATATTTTATCATCCATTTGCTTATTAAGTTGTAATTGTTATCAACCAGTGAAAATATTATTGATGTGTCTATCTATCTATATTTCTTATATTATTAATTTATTTATTATTTTATAATATTATAATTAAAATCTTCTTTTATTTCTTTTTTAATTTCCGTGTGTATTACATATTCTTTCTCTACTTTTCTTATTATTTGTCGAGCTCTGATCATATCATATATTCTCTTTCTCTCTTAACACTTTCTTTCTTAAATATTTGTTTATATTATTTTTCCGCTTTGCATATCACAATAAAATAATTATTTTTATTTATTAAAATATAATATAATTTTTATAAATGATGACAGAAAAATATTTATAAAAAATCTCTATATATAATAGTATAAATAATAGATAAAGAAACTTATATCACCTTTTTTTTATTTTTTATTTTAATTTTACAATTGTAAGGGAGAATACTTGTTAGAAATAATGTACGTGTAATACTTGTTAAGCGGTTATAACCTTTAAATTTGATATATTAATTTTTAGCTACTGTTATTACTATTTTTGTTTGAACTCTTTTCTCTTTTAAAAACTAATACTATGTCAATATACAATGAAAAATATTGTAAAATATCAAATTTAGTTTAAAAAATTAAATCTAATACAAATATGGTCACATAAACGTTTACGTTTTTGTTAATATAAATAAAATTTTAAATAGTTATTATGATAAACATGTTTGACAATATTTTTAATATACACAATGAAAATATTTGTTAAAGTATTACCAAAAAAACATTTTCTATAATATATTTCTACAATATTTTATTTTATTTGAGATATACAATATGATGAAAATATGGTTTTAATAACGTGGGTGGTGTGAATCGAAAACTTCTTTTCAATGTGAGTGGTTTCTTAGTAAAATATAAATAAATTTATGAATAGGTGGGGACTTTTAATAGAAATGGGGGTGCTAATAGTAAGCCCTTAGTTCCTTTAACTCGTTTAAATTGGGCCTACACGGTCTGCCTTTATATTTTGGATGGGGCATCACAATTTTCATTATTTTTTATTTCAATTTTAAGTAATTTCATAAAAATCAAAATAAAGTTGTTGAATACCCCAAGATTCTATTTAAATTGATGGAAAAGAATTTAATAGTCTGAAACTAGATGATATTATATTCTCTCTCTTTTTATTTGTTGTACATGGAATTGAATGATTTCATCCAATAAAATACTAATTTAAGATAAAACTTTTCTTTTAGGTTTGGAATGTTTTGATTCTGAACAAAATAGTTTATATAAATTAACCATAGATATTTCTTAAGAATCCGTTGTAGTCTAGTTGGTCAGGATATTCGGCTCTCACCCGAAAGACCCGGGTTCAAGTCCCGGCAACGGAACATTCTATTCTTTTTGACAATAATTTGAAAAATATCTTCGAAAGATCTTATCAATATTCATCTCAATATTTTCTCAACCCACGTAACATCTTGTCCATGAGTAATACTACAAAGTTGCGCAAAACATATCATCTATGTTTCGGTCCAAATTTTTTGAAACATTTACATTCAAACACATAACATTCAACTCAGCTATTATCTCCCAGCGAAACAGGTTCATGGGGTGACACAAACCATCACACATGAAGTAGTTCATCATGACTCGAGTGTTCCGTTTGAGTGCTCCTCACCTGCAAAAGTGGAGGTTCCATTTCCCAACCGGTTCATGCTGTTGGTAGAATAATTTGAATATGGTGAGTGTGCAGAAATTGGACTACTTCGTGAATACCGGTTCTGCGCCACCGTGCTGCTCCTTGTTACTTTCAGACGAGCCTTCCTTCCCTGATGAAGCATCCAAGCATTTCCATGATAGGAAAATGACACAAGTCAGAAACCCAGAAGGCTCAAATGCATGCATGCATGGTTGAAGAAGATTGAAGGCAGAAATTTTCACCGATTTCTCAATTATCAACAACACCCAAGCTTTTTTCCAATACATTATTTTGGCTACGTGGACTAACCGATTACATAATCTATTATTGTAAATCAAGTCTATAAATAAATCATTGATTTCAAATTTTTCTCAATAATTCCACTTGTTTTTCTTGATCTTACTCTAACAATAACACCTTTGATTATGCTACATGGTATTATGGATAACTATAGGGCTAATTTGTTATAGAATTAAAAAGTGATTTTCATGAAAAATAGTCAAATGATTATTTTCTAGGGGTTTTCAGTTTCTGATTATTCTGAAAAGCTGAAACAAATTAATGGAAAACTAAAACAGTGATTTTCTTTAAAAAAAATTGTAACAAAGAGGCCCTTCTTATGAATATATGATATTCGATTAATGTTATAGGCATAATGAAGGAATAATTTAATAAGAAATAAACAATTGTAGAAGATAAAAGAATAACCTTTCCCATGCACTTCTCCAAATGAGGAGCAAATCTCCCAGCCATGATAGATCGACCACAATTCATGCACTGAAATATTTCATTTGCCACAGGAGGATGGGTTTGTCCGAATATGTCAACCACATACTTGCCATTTGCTTCATTACTATTACTAGGATCAGCTACCCTAACCCTGGCTTGTGCTGACAGCTTCAATTCTTCATCTTCTTCTTCCAAATTAGAATCAAGCCCAAGCCTTGCCACTCTGTGACACTCTGATGCCACATCAACTATGATGGAATCAAGGAGATCCAAGAAAAAGTGAGAAGAAAGCTGCAAAACAATCCAATAGAAGCAAATAACTATGTAAATATATATTGGAGAAAAACATATGAACTACTCTGAATGTTTCAATTCAGTGAGACATTAATAATTACTTTAGGCACATGCATGTGAGAGTTAATCTACAATGGAAATACAAATATGATAGAAGATATGCTGCTAAGACTAGTATCTAACACTATTTAGTGTAATTCATGTATTTAAGGAAACAAATAAGGGATGAAGGGAGGGATTTATGATTCCCTCCATCCTTATTCTAAAAGAAAGATATGATATCATACACAAAGGTTGGATGTTCAAGATAGACTGTCCACTTCATGCAAACTGATGAATTTTGCAGGGAATCCTAATGAACATATTATGATGCACAGGGTCTGAAAGCCATGCTCTGTTGCACAATCTAAAGAAACGTGAAACAAATGATGAATTCACAATTCTTCTTGCTTTATTAGATTGTTTCTCTTATGTACATGAAAAAAAGCAGTTGTTTTTTGAATCCAAAATTTTTTCTTTCATTATTGATCTTATTATCATCCTAATCTTCCTCTTCACTGTTGATCATAACCACAATGGAAAAAGTACCATTCTTAGGTATGTTATGTTTCAACATTAACTTTTCAGCAGTTAATTTAAAAGCGGGGCAATAAAGAGCAGGAAAAGAACAATGAACACAGTCAGAGACATGTTAATTTGTTAATGAAAGACAAATGGAATTTAATAATCAACATTTTCTTTTTTCAAATGGGAATCCTAACTTATAACCACCGTTACAATCCCAAAACTTAACTCAGGATTGAGTCTTAGGAGAACGTAAACTGTAAGTTGAAATGCACCCAAACATGATATGCAACCAAAGTTAGTTGGACAGTAAAATGTGCAGGGAATTTGAATCGAAATCTATTATTTAATTATTGCTGCACTCAGTATGTTTACTCAGACAGAATTGAAGAGCACACCTGAGAATGTGACAAGTCTTCCTCCTTAGGAACAGACATGAGTCTTGACCAAGGCTTTTGGATCCTAATTTACACCAATTACTGGTGAAAGTCAGAAACGAGTACAAAAGTTTTATGGAAGTATAAAATAAATAAGCAAAGAACTAAAGAGCCAAAATAATAACAAAAGGAAAAAATATGACATCTGCGTGACCTGAACCTATTGTTAATAGTTAATTTGATTTTGATCTTTCAAAATATGCAACGACATCATAGAAGAATCTCCCAAGTCAGTAAGACATTGTCCATTCTTAAGAAGGTATGGGTTGGTCATGAAACAGTGATATAAATTTCATAATGTAAAGTTCAACCAGCATCCTCTAGGGAAATAAGAATCATGATGGAAAGAGGAAATACGATCAGTTATAAGAAAAAGTTGTGACTTCAGGAATCATATTGAACGTATTCATGTTGATATAATCGATGAGGATAAAAAAAGAAACGAGGAATCCAAATAATTTGAGTGTCAAGCAATTGAGAATTTGTATCCAAATTTACAGTAAGAAGATGTTCATAAAATTTTATCACCATCATTAAGTGTCTAGAGATTCACACAACAAATGATGGATCATTTTATGCAAAACTGACCGCAAAATACAGTTGAACCATAACCCTCAAACATGTTCATCATATACATTATACATCCTTTATCTCAATTTTAGCCAAGGCCTCTGTACTATCTTATTCCCCTTTCATTATGCATACTTAGAATGACCTATCAATTTCCAGTTTCAAATATTCATTCACAAACTTGAAAACTCCATATGATTTTGGGTTTAAATCTAATTCAACAGAACAAGATTGAATTTTAAGGTAATGTTTGTAACTTAAGTACTTTAATTTGACCACATTACTAGTCAATATTGAATTGTAAACATATAGCTCTCATGTCAAGGACTAGACGTTTTGGACATAATGTTTGTAAGACTGGACATCTATAGATGGTTTGATAAAAAAGTGAGATGATAGGACAAACAACAATTTCTATGACACACTTCTATATCAACTTAGAATTTAAATTTAGGCTAACTTATTTTACAGAAAGGGTTTGTAAGATCAGAGTTAACATCCATTTATATACTTTAATTTGACTATATCATTAACATGGAACTCCAACACTGATCTACAGTTCAACATAATAAACTAGAATAAAACAAATAGCAACTTAAACATTCTCAAACCTAAACATCAACAATCACAAATGGAGCATTTTGCAATCTATCTGATCCAATATAATTTCAATCCACTTGATATATTCCATTTCTTTTTTCACTTTCCTTGTGGAAAGCAAGACAGAAAGAGGGCAGCTATTTCAATATCTCAGGTAGACAGATTTTTTTTTCACTGTAAATACATCAAAGAACATGTCCTCCACATTTTTCAATCTCTCTAATATCTAGTCCAACCCCCAACACACGCACACGCACAATTTCAACATCTAAAATCGAAAATGCTTCTTAACATGGAGGTGAAAATTACAGTACAACAACCAAAGTGTTGCACAATTGATCACAACAAAAATTCAGAAGAAAAAAAAAAAAAGATCACCCTCATACCAAGGATAACTTAACTGGCACCAATCACCGCCAAAGAGTTCCCTAAATTCAGAGTGGAAAGATACATTCAAGAAATTTCCAGAATCCCATTAAGGGTAAATGGTTAAAGGAACTGAAAAAAGTGTAATTGCAAAGAAACAAAAAGGGAAGAGCCTAAGTAGAACAGAAAGAGAAAAAAATAGAGCTTGTACTGACAGCTGATGCAAAATTTGAACCTTTACGATGGTAGGAGAGAAAGATCACAGGAAGTCGAGAGAGGAGAAGCGAGCGCTAATGGTGAGTCTGTGATTCACAGTGAACCCCTCAACTCGGGCACGGGATCAATTCCGAAAAAGTCAAAATCTATGTGCTAGAAAATAAATTTAAAAAGTAAATTACAAATATAATCGCTTAAATATTATTATTTCTCTCAAATCATTCTTAAACTAATGAAATCATATAAATAAATTTTATGTTTTTTAATCTATAGTATTTTTCAGCTTAGAGGATTCACGAATAATCCCTTCAGCTTGTACTCAAATCTATTTTAAAAAATTATTTTACAAATAGGTATTAAATATTGAATATTTGTAAATATATTTTAACAGTATTTAGGAGACTAATTAAATATTAATTTATGTAAAATTTTTATTTTATAAATTAAACAGGGGATCAAGTAATATTCCAAAAATAAACTTAATGGTTTACTTAGAAGTTTTACCTTGTGCCCTTTCAATTACTTTTTACTTTTTAAATATAGTTACAGTTTTTATAAAATTAAATATTTAAGTTTTAAATTTAAAATTTAAAATTTTATTTTGTAATTTTTTCTCAATTTTAAATTTTTATAAAAATTATTTTTTAATAGTACATACTGAGTAAATTTTAACTTTTAATCTTTGTCAAAATTTTCTTCAAAATTTGTTCATATGAGATCTAAAATTATTATTTTAAATTTGTTTCAAGGAATATGTTTTCAAATGTTGACTGGTTTTACATTAAAGTGACATTGGGTGCAAATTACAAAGATAGGTAAAGTTTAAGACAATTTTATTTTTAAGTAAGAATGGTGTCTAAAATTAAGAACAAAATTGAAATTCCATGCAAAATGATTAATATATCCAATTTGGCTGTAAACTTCAACAAGTGTTGTTTTGACATATTTAAATTATAGAAAGTGTACTATTTTTTAGACAAAAATAAAAACATTAGTATATTTTTTTTGCCATAGATATTGATTTATTTTACAATTTTCATAAAAAAGAGTATAAATAAACAAGTAAGTAATTAATAATTATAGATGTTTTGTTAGAAATTTATTAGGATTCTTAGCTATTATTAATGTATGAAGATAAGACAAGTATTAGTAATTTTATTTAAATTAAACAATTAAGTAATTAATGATTGTATGAATTAATATAAAAACTAATTAAACATTGTGTAACAACACATGAAATTATTGCTTAAGATTATAACAAACATTTATAATTACTTAAAATTACGTGATTGATTTCTCTACTCTCTTTTTTATCTCAAATTAAAAAAATTCTAAAACAAAATCACCTTCCTTTGATTAAATCACTATAAAAAGACTGCAATTTTAATTTATTAAAATAAAAATTGAATAAACATGCGTGAACTTTTTATATTGTAAACTAAAATAAAATAATCCATCTTTACTATAAAATTAATTTTTCGGTGCTACACTTAGTTTTTTTAGATAAATGTGCACAGAAAATTTGCATGCACATTATATATAATATGTTAACGTTTTATCTCTTATTAACGTAAGTTGAATAAGAATGGAATAAGTAATTTTGATTTTAATGTTATTTTAAATTTTAATTTAAAAATTAAAATGACTTGTTGTATTTTTTATCATGAGAAATTTATTTAACGCATAAGCAAATATCTTTTTTCTGTGCGGGTCACTTGATAGCTAGAAAATGACATGTTTTGCACTAACATGTGATTGTTAATGTATGAATGATAAGTATCTTCAGTGGTCCTTCCCTATCTCATTCATATATGTCACGGTTCACACATGGCACTAATTTATCACCTAACTTTTTATTTTATTTTGTAAAAGAGTAAAATTTAATTATTCTTTCTTTAAATATATACTAACCATTACTTCAATTTCTATACATTTTTTCTTTTATCATTTTTTGGTCTTTAGTGGAAAAGATATATTATTGATAAGGAAATTAAGAAAAGGACAATAATGTAATCAGACTTTTTTTTTCTTTTAAATTATGTTTGCCCTGAATATAAACATGTAGCAAAAGAAAATAGCAACATGAATCATTAAGAGAGACTTTTTTTTGTCAATTTCTTGTAAGTAATATTATTTTTGGTGTTTTAAGACCAGCTCACCTAGTTTGAGTTTGAGTTAAGTAATATAATTTAATGAATAATAATCACTGCTTGTGTTTGAGTAAATAGTTTTATAATTATATTTACAATGTAATACCCATCAAAGCCAAACAAAATTAAACGTTATATGTATTTTATATCAATTTGAAAATTCATATAGTTGTGAAGAAATATTTTATATATAGTTTTGATACTTATTTTACTTATAGTTTGAATCTTTTATCAAAATGTTTATGATGTAAGAAAATCGTATTATACAGTTTTTAAATTTTTATTTTTATTTTTTAATACGGAATTAATTATAAGTCAAATATGAAGACTACCCGAAACAGCTTTTCGGCCATAAAACTGATTAAGCAATAAGTCAATGTAGTTTTATTAAACTTGGTTTTTGTAATTAGCTTAATCATGATTGAAATAAATTAAAAATATTAATTTAATGTTTAACTGATATAATTTTTGTTAAAATAAAGAAACAAAGAAAAGAAGAAAAAGATAATGAGAATGAATTTTAAAATTAAAGTTATATTTGAAAAAGATATTGGAATTAAATATTTAAAGTTAGAGTTAACCATCATATTTTAAATATTTTAAATTGGATTATGTTAAGATTTAATTTTTCAATTAATAAAATAAATAAATTATATTGACCTAACTCATAAGGAAGATGTGAGTTGGTGGAACATTAAATATAAAGGTTTAGGAGTAATCTCATATATTGTTGTGTGATAAGTAGCATTTGTTGGTTAGTCCTTCTTAAATGGATACTTGTATCTCAAAAAGATTAGTTTCCGTAACATCCTTGTAGTACACCCAATAAAATAAACCAACAAACTACTTGTTTTATCTTTACATGCAAAATCTTGGCGAGTAAGGAGCAGAAGACAAAGAAATGAAAAAAACAAAGAAACCATGGACCACCCTGCTTCTGACTGCAAATTGTATCCTAAAATATTCGTCAACATCAAGGAAAAAGAAGAAAAATACAAAACTCAAAGGAAGAAAAATCGTATCCATGTTACGCAACCAACAAAGTAAGAAAGGAAAAACAATATCCACAAGGAAAACAAAAGAAAAGAGTGAATGAGAAGGTTTGGTGCAAAGAGTCAAATGTTTCATACCTCCTTGCCAAAAACTTGCCACAGAAGATATATTCTACTACATATCAAGAAAATATTATAAGCCTTGCGTATTATTATCATCATTTACTTGCTTTTCTACCCTTATTGCCATGACACCTTACCCTAACACTTCTTACAGCTCTCAGCAAGAAGATGAGGTTCAACTTTCTGATGACAAACACTTTGCCCTACATGGAAAGATATTGCTTTTGCTTTTTCTCTCTGCCTTCTCCCTTATCTTTGTGTTCGTCCTCATCATACCCTGGCTGAAGAAACTTAGGGGTTCTCATGATTCAGGAACGGACGAAGATTCCAATACTGAGAGCCAGAACAACACTTCTACTCTTTCACACAACTGGTTCAGGAGAAGAAGAAAAGAAGAGGTCACACTATGCCAACATGCAACAGAAGAAAATTAATTCTCCTTTCATGTGAAGAATTGATTAATTGCTTTGTAAGTGCTTGAATTCTTTGTGAATATGATGTAGTTTTAGATATCTTATTCAGAATCTTGTTGCTGGGTTATGTTTGTAATTACCAATATTTGTGTTCTTGTCAGTGTCATAACTCACTGTACTGCTATTCATATCAACATCTTTTTGCTGTATTTACTCTTTACTCCTTGTGATATGGGAAAATATGGTAATTACCAATATTTATGGTCTTGTCGGTGTCACATTCTACTGTTCATGTCAACCCCTTTAGCTTTATTTACTTTTTAGTCTGTGTGATGTTAGATATATATGTTGAAAAAAAAATGATATATTGAGGTTGTTATTTTGATTAAATAACTATTAGTTAATATTATATATTTTATTGAGAATTTTTTTTTAAAAGAACATACCTATAGAATCTTTATGATGATCTATTTTGACATTTTTGTTGATCACATGTCTATATTTACAACCTAAATGAAGATTTTGGACAAGTAATACGAGAATGCTATAAAGTGTGATATCAAATATATAAGACATCACTACGTAGGTAATTAAATATTATATTAAAAATCAATTTTAAAAAGTTAATGATCAAAAGTTTTACGACTTTTCAATAAAGTTCTTAATTCTTTTTTACATTTTATTCGTGAAAGTGTGACATACCATCACTGTCCATATATATATAATGGAAACCTATAGAATTTGTCCTTCAACTATCTAGCGTCATTGTAAAGAGTAGTGGAAAATTGTCTTAAATAAATTGAATTTCAAATGAAAAAAAACCATATCCAAAGAATATAAACAATTTGCCCAATCTTACATTACATTTAGTCATGACTTGACATTGAGTAAATTTCTCATTCTTTTGACTTGCAACCATGCATTGACATTGAGTAAATTTCTCATTCTTTTGTCATGTAACCATGCATCATTACATGAATTATTGGTAAGACTCATAGAGTAGCTCAATTTGACATGATTTTATGCATTAAATAAAAAAATTAATGGAATCTATATTTTAAAATAGGTTATACATTTTTAGTTTAGTTTGATTAAAATCTTTAAAAGTATTTAAATAAAAATATAAATAAAAAACATTTTAAAATTTAAATTATATTAATGAAAATAATTTTATTTTAAAGATTTGATATATAAATTATAAGAAAAGATTTATTAAATCTTAAAATAAGAATTAAAAATCTTAAAATAAGAATTAAAAATCTTAAAGATTTGATATATGATCATTTATTTTATAATAATTTATTGATAAAAATAGTAATTAATCTTAACGGTTAAATCTTAGAATGAGTTGTTAAAAATTTACTCTAATATTTAATATTTGAATAAGTAAATCTTTTATAAAATTAATTTATAATATATATGTTTTTTAATAAAATAATATCACTTTATTTTTTAAAAAATTATTATTCTATAAAATTGATTGACCCATAAACTTTTAACTATAGGTAATGAATAACTTAAATGAACCAAACTAAAATAGACTTAATTCAGTTTAGGTCAATTTTTTTAACTTATCTTATTTTTTAGACTTTTCAAATCGAAATTCAATAATTATCTTAATTTGACAAATCTAATTTATTATAAACATGACACAAGAACAAAAATGACTAGAAATATAAGATTAAAATATAAGAGCTCTTTTCCCATTAAATATGTATTAATCTTTCTTTCAACTCTCCTATTTTGTTGTAGGGTCTCAGGACAACTTGTTTATAGTAAAACATCTTTTGATGCAAAAAAATCCTTTAGAAAAAAATTGGGTCCATTCTCAAAATGAATGCTTTTTAATTTTGTATCAAATTAATGCATAAAATTTTGTGCTTATGACTTAACTTCTTCCTATGATCTTAACAAAACAAATTATATGTAATAACTATAATAATGAAGAATAGTTAGAAAATATTTGTAATCATATAAGAAAACTTTAGAAAAGGGTTCCTAACTATCTGTACGAATAATTTCAAACATTTTGGATGTTCTACTAATACTTGATAAATAAAACAACTTTCTTTCTTTATTTAAATAACAAATATCATCAAGTTCATTAACAGACATAAAAATAAAAAGAAATTATTGATGTAAAATGTTCAATCTATTTTTAAACAAATAATCTATAGTATCAAATGTTTGAGGCAATTACGGTAATGAAGATGTTCACAAGAGAAGACTTAATCTTGGTGGTAAGGTATCTTTGCTAAAGCTAATACAGAAGAGGTTTTCTTACAACTTATCCAAACCAATCGTCTTTAATGAATTCATATCCTAAATTTTACAAAGGTCATTAGATGAAGTAAGAGTAAGTAGTTAAAAATTAATTTAGAAATAGAAAGAAAATTAAAATGTGATAAAAAAGAATATTTTGAATAATAAAACTGGGAGAAAAATGAATGGTGTCTTATAGTTGGGTAATTTGATGTGAAAAGTTTTATTTTAAAATGAGTTTTGAAATTACTTAAAAAAAGAAGTCCTATAATTTGTGAACCTTGAATCAATTATCCAACTGGTAAAATTACCATTATTGAAATTTTGACTCAAGAATATTTGGTTTAATTTGTAAAACATGAGAGCTATTGACAAGGCTTATGTGAGACTTATCATATGTGTATGAACTTCTTGAGTTATCAACTATCAATGAGGGAAATTAGTCTTTAATGTTGGATGGACTTAAATCAAAATCTATCTTGAAGTTGGGTTGATCAAAGACTTTCTACAAAAGGATTTGGACCATGTGTGATAATTGTTTATGAGGACCAGTATTACCACAACCAAGGAAGAATTCTCATTCAACTTAATGTATTAGGGATTCTGAGTCAACTCAATATATCAGGGATTCGATGAATTTTGATGGATGATAACTCTACTTACAAAAATGGGAAAGTTACAAATAGTATCAGTAGAACTCCAAATAAAGTTACAATAGAATAACACAAATTTGGATTATTTGATATTAAAGATAAATACGTAATATCAAATTATATTTCATCGTATATCAAAGTAATAAGTACGTAATCTAATTTATAATAATTCAGAAGATTTTATAATATTATTATTATGATAAAAGGAACTGAGATTTATCATTTAGGTCAATGTATATGCTAAGGTGCGGTTATTATAATTTCCTTATATACTCAACTGGATTGTGAACCAGAATTGTAAGCATTCATCCATAGAAAGAACACAAGGCAGAAAATTGCCGAGTCTATTATACAAGCATCGGTCAGTTTCTCTGTCGACAAAACACACTACTCCAACAAATTCAGAATGAAAATTTTCTATCTTGATAGAAATATGTAGAGAACTGATTCCTACTGCCTCGTGTGATTAACTTCAGAATGCTTCATATCAGAAAATGACACGGCCCAACAATATGGAAGTGAGGGGAACTGTGAGGTTGTCATCAAACTCTGTGCTGATAGGTAGGGACTCCACAAATGCTGTGACAGTAGACACTAACAGAAAACGCAGAACCAAATTCCAGCTTCCCTCAATATACCCAAAGGAGGAAAAATACCACATATACCTGTCAAATAGTAACTGTTAAATAGGATCATGGATCAAATAGGTTACCACTTTAAGGGCAAAATAAAATAAAAACAAGAGAAGCCAACTGAAATACGCTGTAGAAGCCAAGAATCCAGCAGATGCCATTGCTATTGAGCCCGCGTAGGACTTTTCTTTGTTGTAAGGTATCTTTCCACGGCCAAATCTCCTTCCAACAATATCAGCCATGCCTGAACCAAAATATTAAGAATAAAAAATCAGATACAGTCGTTGTAGGAAGTAACACAATGAGGTTTCTCATGTTGGGGTTGTTTTTTTCTTCTATCTTCCCTAATTTTAACATTTTTAAATGAACATCTGGTGCAGCTAAAACATTGCCTAATTCCAGGGAAATTGGCTGAGAAAACATTACCATCTCCTGCACACAGATTACATATTGCAGCAATTGAGATAGGTGAAGTTCTCCAGTATACTATGGATGCCAAAGTAATAGTGGCAGCATAATACAGTGGTCCTTTAAGAAGTTCCCTGTTGCAGATAAAGAACTAAGAACAAATTAATACCATTATTTAAATCATGTTTTTTATATACCATAATATACATTTAAGTATATCCAGTTGGTCTGGTTTGGACTGATCAGCATCTTAACCATTTGGAGCATGATGTATACTTTTCTATACAGAATTAACTGAATGAGACAAGTTTTTGTTTCCCGGATTAAAATATCTCTAATGGAACTCGAGTACAATATTGTTACCTGTAATCTCCGAATCTACTCATTGATTTCACTGTGGCCTCATCTTTCATTATTCCAAGTCCAGTAACAAGCATCCGAATTATATTGACTCCCGGAATTAAAGCAGCAAAGAAGGAAGCCGTATTCTCAGTACTGTAATGAGTCAAGAAAGGTCATTCAATAAGGGAATTTGAAGCAGAATTTTGAACAGGCTCCATAATTCATAACTATAGAATTACCTGAATAGTGGCCAGCAGAGCATGAATATCAGCCCAATGCTTATATGTACAAGTTTCCTATTTAATTTCTAAACATTAAAAATGGTTTATAAGAATTCAGGCCAAAACAAAATATGATACACATTATGAAACACAACAACTCAGCATCTATTTTCTAAACCACAAACAACATACAAATGCACAGGACAACCAAAGTAATACAACTCATTTCTTCTAAATGCACAGGACATCAGTCTTAAAGAGAAAAGCAGATAGAAATAAAACATTTCTATTATTAAAAAAATACCAGGGTAGAAGGGGATAACAACAACCTTTGGAAGGGTAAACCATATACAACAATATAATAACATGTGCCAAAATTGGGGACAATAAGAGGTCTTAGAACAGTAACCATTTTCATTATATTATTATTTTTGGTATCTAAATTTCGCTACTTCAATTAAAAAACTCTCACTTTTCATGTACTTCATAATGTCACCCATTAACTATAAAATCATCACACAGTTCAAAAACATGGAAAACACTCCACTAAAGCTTGTCTTGCAAAAGCAGTCATTTTCACCTATCATACTAAATTGGTACAAAATTCTCAAAACCAAAAACACAATCTTCTGACCCACCTGGTCAAAGATGCCTCGTTCGGCGGTTTCTTGCCACAATTTGAGGAAGGACAAAGCGGCAACGCCAGAAATGGCAGTGGCGAAGATGTCAGAGACAAGAGGGTCGCAGTGCAGCATGGTGGATCGTGGAGGGGAAGTGAAAGAGAAAAAGGAGGAAGATGAAGTGAAGAGGGAAACGGGCTTGTGCCTGAAAAGAAAAGGGGAAGAAGGAGAAGGGAAAGTGAGTCTCGTGGTGGGTGCGTGTAGAGTTGGGATGGAAACGTAAGGCATAGGGTCAACCCTTTGGTAGATTGTGGTGCTTCTAAACATGTTGCAACCGGGAAACATAGTGGAGTGTGGGAATAAAAGATTTCTTGTCAACCAGGTGCGAACTCTTGTTCTTATTTTTTTTCAACCTTTGCCGATGACAATTTATAGATCTTTTTTTTTTTAGTTTACTTGTTTATTTAGTTTTTTTATTTTTTTCAAGATTTGTGATTTTATTTTTATAGTTAAGAGAGGATTTTTTGGAGGTAGGAATGCACGGTCTTGCACAAATTTTTAAATGTTCTTTCTATTCTAATTCAACTTTATTAATAAGAAGTATAAAATTAGTAGGAAGATTTATTAAATAAAACTTGAGAATTATAAAATTGTGTGATTTTCAAATATATTTAAACGAATATGCAATTTGTTTAACTTAATTTATATTAATGATGAATTAACATATATAGAGAGAGGACGTGGGTTTAGAATTATTAAAGTCATACCAAATCCAGAAAGCCCAAAATCCATTCCCTGAGTATTTTTATCTCTCTGATCCTGTTTTACTAAGTTCACCCAAATGGTTGTATGTATTTTATTTCCCCTCAAAAGTAGCCTTCACAATAATAGGTGTACATGGTTCACGGTACATAAGATGTACATGGTTCACGGTACATGATGGAGACAAGTTTGTATTTTGTTGCAAGGGACGTTGATTATTTCTAATAATTAATAATATGAATTTAACCAAATTAATGATAGATGGATGGATATGGCATATTATATATCATGATCACCGTATCTTTATTTACTTTGTGAATTCAAATCCAAAAAAATGACAACTTTCTTAAATTTGTTATTTTAAACTCGTGCATCAACTTCATTTTAATGACATTGTTGAATATTTGATAAGCGTACAAAAATTTCCAATCGCAATATAATATTTCAATTAAATAAAAGTCGATCCCACGAGGAACGGTTTCAATGAAAATTCCAAATCATATGCTTACTAAGTATATTGAAACAAAATTGGATTTTCATAAAGATTATGATTGAAATTAAATGACAAAGAACAATAAAGTGTGTCTAGAAAATATCAAATAAAAGAATTTAGGATTGACTTCCTTCATTTTTCCTCTTTTGCATAATGCCTAGGTCAAATTAAGAACATCAATTAACCTATCAATGTTGGTACCACCTACTCAAATCATTCACTTTGATTCCTCGCATGTGAAATTCATAAGAAAACCTGATAAATGTCGATTCCTCACACAGTAAGAAATTTTCCAGTATTAGATTTATGGTGTTAAACACTTGATACATTCATTCCATTTCTGGTAATTAATATAACAAATATTTTTACCTGATATAAGATTTCAAGATATATTTTCCAATCATATTCCAAACATAAAAAATAAATCATTTTGGTAATTAACATAGCAAATATTCTTACCTGATCTAGGATTTCAAGATATATTTTCCAATCATATTCTAAACATAAAAAATAAATCATTCCAAGGTACAACAGATAAGAATAATAACATCAAAATATAGATTAATATATCAAAATATCACCATGACACAAAAGAGTTTCAAGGAAGTGCAACTAATCCTAAGAGAATGAAATTAGTCATTCATGGTGGTTATTACAATACTTTAAAATGAGGAAGAATTGAAGAATCCTTGAAGAACAGAACAGCAGTCACGCATCTTCTCCAAAAATCTAAAAATTCATCTCAACATGCGTCTTATATTTTTATAGGAAAATTTGGGTCGGATCTATCATCATTCATTCGCTCAAGCGACCAATTATTCGCTTGAGCGAAAAACAGCAACTTTCGCTCAAGCGAAAGATGTCTGCTTGAGCAAGTAGAAACCCGAGAACTTTGTCGTATTTTCACTCAAGCGAGAGTAGATGTCGCTTGAGCGAGTGCACACCTGAGAGGTTTGTCATCTTTTTGCTCAAGCGAGAATAGAAGGTATTTGAGCGAGAGAACTCCCGAGAACTTTCACGTATATTTGCTCAAGAGAGCGTAGATGGCGCCTCAAGTGAATTTTCAGTTGAAAATCTTCTTTTTTTCTCTCACTTTTTCTTCAATTATCTTTACAATTATGATATTTGCTCTTGTATCAAAGTATTCTACGAATTCATCCTACATTGAAAGAAAAATATATTAAAATCAATAATATTTAAGTGGTTACATAACAATTATGGATATAATTACATTAACTTTTACCACTTAACAGACATCAACATACTATTAATGGTTTTGAGTCTAACAAATATACACTCCAAATTTATATATATAACTTGAAAAAATTTAAATGGTAACATATGCATATTTTTTATTCCAACATATTAGTACTTATTTGACTTCATAAAGGTTTCCTTTAGTTTAAACCCTTTCGCCCATGACCTTTAAGTTCAAATAAGAAAGATACGATACATATACTTCTTCTATAGGTTCATTTAAAAAGACAAATTTTATATCTAGTTGATCCATATTTCATCATTTTGAATTACGAATAGTAACCACAGTTCTTATGGTTTTGATTCAAGATATTGTTGCAAATATTTCTTTACATTCAATTTCAGGCTTTTGAATATGTACTCTTAGTCGTGCCTTGTGCTTCATTATTTTTCATGTAGAATTAATTTTGATCTTAAAAATCCATCATAAACTAACTAATATCTTAGCTTTTGGTAAAGGTACTAGTTCTTTTTTTTGGATCGATTATCATAGCATCACCCAATTTACTTTTTTAATAACTTCTTCAAAGGTAACTAATTTAATTCCCAAAAGATAGAGCAAAGTGATCAACGTCTCTATCTTCATTTACGTATACATCTAATATCATTTCAAAGCCTCTCAGCCTGTTAGAAATTTGACTATACTTCCTGTTCCTATTTTGTCTTATTCATTATTTTGTTCATCTATGTTTGAGTTTCAATTTCATCCCTTCAACTAGTTAAATACAATATTTATACTCATTACAATTTCCTTGTTACCATTAATGTCATGATATCCTAGCAATATCATTTGCTCTCTCTCCTTTATCATTTTTTTTTCCTCAACTATACAAGCACATGCCTATAATCTATTAATCCAATCACTGACTCACATTTGGCTTTAAGTAACTTCTTTCCTTTAAGTATATTATGTACTATCTTCATAATGGTTTTATTTTTTCTTTCTATAATATCTTAGAACTATAATATCTTAGAATTAGAGGTTGATACTTCAACCATTAAAATACTATGATTTTATGATAATAACTTATAAATAAATTATATATATATAAATATATATCCGTGTAAATATATAAATACAAATATATTTATATATAAATATATTTTTATATATTTATATATTTTAAATATTTACTCGATGAGATATATCCGTCATGTAATCACTCGATAATTTTCGTTGACAATCACTTATTTTCCAACAATTACATATCCGTCTGTAACTATCCGTTGGTAATTAATGATTTTCTTGTAGTGAGATTAAAATGTTTTGAGACATTTTTATTCTTTTTAAATGATAGAGGCTCATGTTATAAGATTAGATAGATGATTATATCTATTCAATATTGATGCAGACTCACTAAAGACTACCACACTACATCTTCTTTTTCATTATTATTTTGACTTCATCAAATATTCGAGATATCCAATATTTCTTTATATTCATCAAGGACTTTTGTCTTCTGACCACTATTTCATTTCACCATGGTTTTAAATTTCTCAAACACTTCCAACACTTCACTCTTTCTTTTGATCAAATAAGTCCATAATTTCTTAGAAAAGTTACAAATCAATGAAATAAAATATCTATTACCTCTTAGAGACTTAGTTTGAATAAGACCCACCCGTAGCTTTTCCTTTGTTTTCAACAAAACATGTTGAAAGAAGTTTCTTGGCTACTTTGACTCCTCTCTGCCTTCTTTACAAACTTCTTTGAGTGGGGGAATATGGGGCAGACCTCACACCATATTTATGGTCTTCAAGTTCTGCAAATTTCTAAAGCTAAGATATCCAAAGTGATAATACCAAAGTCATTTTAATTAGTATTTTGGGCTTAACGTTTTATTATTAGTGAATTTTTATTAAATGGGCTTCATTGGGCCAACAATTCAGATTTTAATTAATTTGGATCTATTTGATCTAATTTTTGTTCATTATTATTTTTAAGAAAATTTAAAGCAATTTTGAGCTTGGAAGATTGGGTCAGATGTCATATTACAGTTTAAAGTAATTTTAGGCTTGGAAAATTGGGTCAATTGTCATATTTTATTTTATATGGGTACTAACATTGGTTTACTATTTTATTTATCATTTTTATACAAAGCTCGAAAAATCATGATTTTTGAAGCATTATAAACTAGACACATTCAGCTTTCCAGAGGATCTAGAATCATTCAATTTGGAGCTAAATTGGATTTCACATAAATTATCCAAAACGGGTCAAGCGCACCAGGGCAGCCCAATGAACATGCTTCAGTAATTTGAGTCTCCTAAATTCATTAGACCTTTAAAAATAGTAAAAACAGTGACGTTTTAAAGCTAATTAAAAGGTCTTTCAAAAGAGACCAGAATCGCTTAATTAAAATAAGTATTGAAAATACTGCACGTGTATGAAGTTGGCAGACCTCCATTGAAGCTAACTTATGATGTGTTTTGTGGACCAGTTGGACCCAAAACCAAGATTAAGATTAGGGTTAGGGTTATTTATGTAAGGGAAATTTAGGGTTAAGGTAGAACGATACCACGCAGCATTCACGCAACCACCTTTTATCTTCTGCAATTTGTACTCAAGTTTGTTAACTTTTTTGTCATTATTTTCAATTCTTGTTTAGATTTTAATTATGTCTCTTCTTCTGCGTTTTCGATTTTTCATGGATAGTTAAATCTTTGTATTGATTTTCTGAGGAGAATTCAAGTAGATCTTTGAAGTTTTGTTCTTCAATTTCATTTTGTTTGTTCTCCTAACTTTTCATCTTTTAATCTCAGTATTGAATTATAACATGTTTATGCTTAATAAACCGGAATTAATATCACAGTTTGTTTAATTCTGTGTTAG